ATGATTTTGGTCTCCTACTAGAAAATATGTTGTATGCATTGCTGAAATCAGATGAACTGAAATGAGGGAAGAAGCTATAAAAAAAAACTTTAGCCATTAGGTAAGTAATTCACATAATATTGATTAAAATGATTTCATCGATTTTCATTTTAAAGTACTATCCTAATTTCATTATAAAAATTAAGACAATTAAGTTTATTTCTTTTATTTTGATTTAATTTTTTTAATTTTTTCAACCAGAAGGAGGTTAAAAAAATATCAAAGATAAATTTTGATGCAATACATTGGTCTCAGTTGATTGACCTGTCCCAAAATGAAGTTTGTGAGCCTGGATTCACAGTGGAATTTTCTGATTATGAACATCTGGAGTCAGCAATGTGTGGGATTAGAGTTACCTGATTTGCCTTTACACTTACAAAGTGTTGAAAAAGCAGTAAAATTAACAAATGCAGCTTCCCAATCAGTCTATGGAATTTAAGCAAGTCATAGGCACATCATTACAAAAGTTTTATTGCTTCAAAGGGCTCTTATGTAGAGCAGTTTAATATGATGCAATAATAAAAATTGATATTATTCTCACAGCATTTACGTTTTTTTGTCATGTCTTTCATAACTTTATGCCTTAAAATTATTATATAAAATCGAAACTTAGAAATCCCACTATTAATAACCAATAGATTTTTAGAGTAGTATTCAAATTGCAATGGTAGTTTATATTAAAATCATCATCCCTTGATTTGTTCCTAGCAAAGTTCATACTTGTTTGCTTTTGTTTCATTGATAACAGAAAAATAACTGTTTTACAATATCTTGCAATGTTATTACTGACGTATCTCAATTAATAAGGTAAAATGCAGTTTATCTGAGCTGTTGGGGAGGAGTGGGGGTTTATAATTTCAATTTAATTGCTACTTTTTGATATATTGTATTTATTTCATTTGAATAATATAAATTGATAAACTTTTCTGGATTCAAATTAGAAATATTTTAAGCCATTTCATATCCAAATGAATGAAAAACAAAGATTTTATGGGGCTTCATATTAGATGATCTTTTAAACTAAATGCTCCAAAATTGGTGCAAGTTACAAATCTACTTTTTGGTATCAGTACTTATTATACCAATACCTAACTTTCCTCAGATAATACTTTCTGATATTCAAGAAAAGTTGAAAATCAACCTACCTATTATATATATATATATATATATATATATATATATATATATATATATATATATATATATATATATATATATATATATATATATATAAAGTAATCGACTCTCCCGTCGAGATTCGACGTATGGGGTAAAGCAGATCAGTTTCCAGGAAACCAACACCTGGCATGAGATTTGATTATAGTGGTGAAGGGTTCGCGCAGGACCATATATATATATATATATATATATATATATATATATATATATATAATATTCAGTAAATTAAGAAAAGTTCAAGTGACTTATCTTAGTTTCGAGAAAATTATTCATCAGGTGCAGATCTCTTTACAACAAAACATTAAGTATATTACTCCCTTTTTCCTTCTGATCTTTTTGAATTCAAGTTATGTTATTTTCATTAGATTTACAACCTTTTCTCTCTGCAAGTAAAAGACTCCGATATATTCTACTTTTCCTTAAAACTTCCTCGTTGTTCACATGTTCCGTTCAAGGAATTCGCCATATTCGTCTCTATAATCCTATATATGTTAGCTCAAGGCATTAGTGCAATAGGCTGACTAAACATTTCTAGTTAGATTGATACACCCCACACATCTGACGAATATAAGCAATAAAATATATTTTTGGTGCAGTAGTTTTCCATTTAGGTGTATTAGCCACCAACAGTTTGAATTTCATTCAAATTATTTATTTCTTTGAATTTTTTGTGAAAAAGAAAGTTTCAATGTCCTCAAAAAGAAAAAAAGTTTCAAAGACTTTTTTCGAAACCTGATTTATTAAAAAAATCTCGTTATAAAGAACTGTTTATTTTTCATATCATTTGTAAAGTCAGTTTTTTTTTCTTAGGTTGGAAGATTTTAAAGCAATATTTCCTATTTTATAAATACATGTAAAATATAGGAAACAAAAAACTTGGAAGTGTGACAGACATTTCTATAAATTCTCATAAATACAAATCGAAGTAAACAGTGCAAGAGGGAGATTGTGTGCAAATTTCTCGCTAAAGAAGTTATTGTATTATAATAAGTGTGAATTGCAACGCAGGGTTGAAATTAAAATTTAAAATAGGGTGAGGCTGTCGATGTATTTATTGGTTTAATCTTCATTCATTTCCCAAATAGTAGCGCTGCTGATTTCTACCAATACGCTTCACCACTAATAAAATTATCAACACAATAACTAAAATGATGCCCTCTCTTGTACATTAAGGGAAGAAGTAATTTAATTTATTTTATGTTGGATATAAAACTAATTAAAAAAAAAATACAGTGACTTAAACTTACAGTCCTTTAAAATTTGATGTAAATATTTGTATCAATATAATTTCAGCTGTGAAAACGTTTAAATTTTGTAGTGACACACACACACACACACACACACACATATATATATATATATATATATATATATATATATATATATATAGTTGAAATACAATAATAAACATAAGATATAATACACACTTAAACTATGTTATCATTTCAAGGATTAAATATAAACACATACGCCATGATGCATACACGTATCGTGGATCATAGCCAATTAAAACTAAACATTAAAATCAAATTTGATACGTAAAGGCTAACACTATATTATATACACAACCACGGAAAACCTGCAAAATATATAAGAAAAATTAAAATATAAATTCTCATCATTCACACACAGAGATTTCGATGATGCTCAATAAAAAGTATAATGTCAAATTATTTTTCAAATGTTTTCCTAATTGTTGCTGAGTTAACTATTCTGATTGATTTAATCCTTATTTTCAACACACACACACTTATACATCTCTCTCTTTCTCTACATACATACATACATACATACATACATACATACATACATACATACATACATACATACATACGGTAATGGATAGCGGCTTGGATTGAGGAATCGCAGAGCCGAGTTCGAATTCCAGTCGAATCCATTACATTCACTTACGTGCTAATACCCTTGGGGAAGGTGTGAATCCTCTTCTTCTCTCTCCACCTATGGGTAAATAGCAGGACAGACTGGGTTCTATAGGCTTGGATAGCAACTGGTCTAGGAGAAGGACAACTCTAAATTCAAAACCTGCGGAGGGTCGTTTGGGGACCTTGTGGCACGTAGTGCACCAGGTCTCTGAAATTCGGCCCTTCAAAAAGTGTGGTTGGTTTTGCACGAAACTTTCACCACTATAATCAAATCTCTTGTGCTGTTGTCGGGCTGTCGGTTTCTTGGGAACTGATCTGTTTATCCTCATACGTCGAATTCGACGGGAGAGTCGACTACTATATATATATATATATATATATATATATATATATATAGCTTGCTCCTCGTATTCGAGGATACCTGTCTAGCCAATCTAGGTTGGGTAGCCAATCCCTATTGCGGACGCTTGCTCAGCCGCATTTGTGCTTATTTACTGCAACTATGTTGAGCAGATTTTAGTTACAGTTTCTGGGAAAGAGCATGTTATTTAGCGTGATCCACAATTTGACGAAGGCCAGCACGTTCGAGCCCTCGGCCACTATAACTTGTGACTTCGTGCTATCGGCGGCCTCAAGTGTTCCCAATTTCACTCAAGAGGCTTGGGTCATAGTTTTCACGTGCCGAATGCTGGAATCGACCCCTGAAGTCTACCCCTGTATTCGATCTCTACCAGTCGACCCCTGCCAGTTGATCCCAGCATGCAGAACTTTTAACATCAGAAAGTCTCCATGGTGAAATTCGAACCCAAGGCTCATGGTCAGAATGCGAACGTTATATAACCCCATGCCTATATATATACACACACACACACACACACACACACACACACATATATATATATATATATATATATATATATATATCAAACGTATATATAAGAGACAACAAATGCCTATTGTGTTTGATTATGAGCCGTTTAGAATTCGTTGTCTCTCATATTTGACAATATCTATTTGAATAATGATCTTCTGCCTCAGTAATATATATATATATATATATATATATATATATATATATATATGGAGAGAGAGAGAGAGAGAGAGATAGAAATAATACAATATAAAATTTGTCACTTAGATAATTGATGACATATCCAGCACCCCGAAACTTTTCGAATGTCTTTTTGTCCACTCGTCAGGAGGTTTCAGCAATTGACTTCGGATTTGCTTATTTTTGTTATTTTATATACGTTAAACAATTATTTACGTGTGGTAGTTATTAGACTTAGGTTAATTTTTGTGTTTGCGTTTCCATGCGTGTGTCTGTGTGTGCGTGTTTGTGTACGGGTGTGTGTGTGTGTGTGTGTGTGCGTTTTTTGTGTACGGGTGTGTGTACGCATGTGCATGTGAGTATGTGTTGAATGTCGTCGTTATTTCTCGTTTTTCATTTTCTTGTGTCCTTCTACAATCGTCCTGTTTTTCCATTCTTTTTTTCTATCTTCCGGCCCTTAAAAGCAAATCGTTACCTCTTTCCGGAAGTTAACGCGCGCAGACGTACACGAACAATACAAAAAAAAAAAAAACATAAACTTGCACCAATGATAAGTGTATAAAAGAAAAATCGAGAAATATAAGCAGTCGATTGCTGATATCCTCTGAAGGGTGGACGGACGGGTCTGTCTCCCAAACTCTGCAGTCGAGAGATAACATCAATCAGCCAAGTTACAAATTTATATATATATATATATATATATATATATATATATATATATATATATATATATATATATATATATATATTAGATGACAAAATTATTATTATATTTTCATTTTTATTTAATTGAAATATATGAACACTACACATCGCTCAATTTTTCTCCCTTTTGCAACCTCCATCAGTGTTTAATAATATCTATTTATATGTACCTATCTATCTACCTATCTATCTATCTCAGTGTGTTCTTATCTATATATCTGTCATTTTATTCATATACATCTATCGGATCCAGTTCATATCTATCTATCTATCTATCTATCTATCTATCTATCTATCTATCTATCTATCTTAGAGTGGGTATATCTATATCTTTCATTCGTATCTATGTCCTTTTCTATCATCCATTTTGTGATAGGAACGTTCTGATATTTAACAGAATTAAAAAAATGCTTCCTCATCAATCTGCTTTATTGTCTGACTTTATTTGTATCATTCGACTTTGAAATATAAATTAATCAATAAATCAATGAAAAACGAAACATGAAAAATCTTGACTTTCTAGTTACACTATGGTGTTACCTTAAACAGATTTTCTATGGAAACGTGTTAGCTATCGCGCAATAAAATATATTTGATAGACACACACACACACGTACAAGAGTGTGTGTATGTGTAAATAATACTCCGTGAAAAGATCTGGCACAAATTTCTCGAATATTTACACAGGAATGCACATAATTCGATTGTTTTCATTAAATTAGAAACAGTTTTTTTTTTCTTTCAATTTTTCAACTTCGGCCTACAAAATGAACCAATAAAGATTATCTTGCATAATTCCATAAATCGAAATTTAACTTTTTTTTTTTTTAAATTCAATCAATGTGAATAAAATATTCGATATTTAATAGTCTGAAATTAGTTCATGCCGACATCTAATTTTTTTTTCAATTTTTAATATGTAGGTTGATTTATATTTTGCGACAATTAAGTAAGCAGTATGAGTAAATAAAAGATCGGGCCTCGAAAGGAAAGAAAAGCTGTTTGACTTTCATTGACGGTACAACTGATTTCGTCGCAGACGTACCGACTTGTTGATACCATCTTCCCTTGCTTGGCAAAGATAAATCTTATTTAAAGTTCTTATTCCGGGATGCTATCGAGTACACTTTTCACACATACATTTGTTTACTAAATAATAATAATAATAATAATAATAATAATAATAATAATAATAATAATGTCCCTTTGCATTGACATTGCTGTTTCCGGTGACTGCAATATCACGGTCAGAGAAATCAGCAAGCTCAAGATATATTCCAACCTTCGGAACGGAAGTTATCAGATTGTCGGGCGTTCAAACGACTACTGTCCCAGTCATCATTTAGAAAATTGAAGTCTATAACACTCGATCTTAAAGGGAAATAGGAAGGTGCTTATCTTCGCCGTTCTGTCATTAATTTTGCTCACAACATTGGATTTATTCTCGCTTGTGGAACTCTCTTCCGGCTTCTTGCTTGCCGATCAACTTTCATCCTGAAACATTTAAATGCAATGTCCATCGTTATCGTCTGTCTTCTTAATTCTGTTCTTTTATTGTCCTCTCTCCTTATTAGTACTTTTTCTCATAATCTCTGACACTGAGTAATCCCTTTGTGTCTTAGTGGCTTTACTGCCTTGCTTAGGGGGAAATTAAAACGCAATATCAATCGTTATATGTCTTCTCAGTTATTGTTCTTTTATTGTTTTCTCTCTTAATTGTAGTTTTTTTCTCAGATTCTCTAATAATCAATAACCTCTTTGCGACTTTAGTGCCTTGCTTGGAGGAAAATTTCAATGCAATGCTCATTTTAATCTGTCTTCTAAATTACTGTTATTTTATTGTCTTCTCTAATAATATTACCCTGAGGTGCTTTTTTGAATTCCATGAGAAAAGATTATTAAAAAGAAATTATTTAAAAAATTATTAAAAAGTCACCCTCCTGATGGTTAACAACAACAACAACAACAATAATAATAATAAGAAGAAGAAGAAGAAGAAATATTAACTTTAAATGGTAGAAAAGGCTTTTATTTACAAACAGTGTTTATCTAATATGGATGAGATATTGCTGAAAAGTTCCAATCAATATGTTGTTTCGGAATATGTACACCAGACTGCGAAAAGGCAAGGGGTAGAAAACTAGTAACATATATCGGACACTTTTAGTCAAGTAAAGTACAGCAAATCGAAGTGGCATAAATTTAGCTAATGAACGGACCACCTATGGCGAGATGAGTTAATGAATGGATTCAAATGGTCACGAAGCAGTGCACTGTAGCAGTCAAAGGTCATTAACCTTTTTAGGGGTTGACCAGAGAATCCAAGTGTCTCAACACCATCAATAAACTACCCAGAGAGCCCCTGTCATGCCTTTTGACAACCGTAATCCATGATTTCATATTCTCTGCTCATAACATCATTACGTAACTGATGATTTTTCCGAAAACGATACACTTTATCACTTAGATATATTACGAGCTCTGGTGAATAAAAGAAATTCTGAACTAAACAAAATTACCAGACGTGCATCTGGTAAAATTTGCATTGAGTGTGGGTGAGATTTAAGACCGTCGAACCACAGGCACTTATAATCAGAATCCTCTACTCATAGAGATTAAGGTTCCGGTTCAGCTACTGCGGTACACTTGAGTAGATCAGTGAATAAGTATATTGAATTAACAGATGTTCGAGTACCACAGATATAGGCTTAGGAAAATAACCTTTACTACCGTTGCTATATTATCACATTTGGCACGTCAGTGTATATTAGATCTATCCTGAAATTCCTATTTCTGTTTATTGAAAACTAAGCACTTTAATATAGAGTTGAAATCGCTTTGTCCCTGGATTCATTTTCATAATCCTAAACTCTGTCGGCATGTCGAAGAAATGGAAATATATTTATTTCCAAACTGTTCGTAAAAGATATACATAATTCAAAAAACGTTCACTTTTTGACATGTTTTGTTCCTTTCCGGAAGTAATAAAATATTTAAAAGAAACAATTCTTTCGAATAATAATGAGATATGAATAAAAGAAACTTTCAGTAGAGGCAAATCGAAATGCGTATATGTTTTGAGAATATTATCAAGACAGAGCTCTCATAGCTGAGATAGTTGCACATTTATTACTCTGGATAGGGGACAAGTTCAGAATGAGCTAAATTTCAGATGCAGATATGAAAAGCAGGAAGAACTTTCCAATTTAGAAAATTGCCGAAATGTAATTTTTTAATTCAATAAGATGAATATCAATAATGTTAAAACAAATACGGGTATCCCAGTCGTATCAACAATATATATATATATATATATATATATATATATATATATATATATATATATATATATATATGACCATTTACTACCTAGTACTCTACACTTGCTGCCTTTTAACAGTTTACCATAACTTTAGCCAATACATCTTCGTTGAAATAACTGGACAATTTTTACCAGTTCTAGAGGTATCTGTTTCGGCCCAGATAAAACTCCCATATATCGAGATACTATGGACAAAAACAAAGAAAAAGATGTGGGTATTATTTCCATCACAAGTCTTTCTGATTACTAGCCAGCAGGTGGTGCAATTCTAGTTTTTTAAGCGGTATCCACTTTTACTGGAGAGAAATGACTGCGTTAAGGTCTTTAGAGATCATATGGAAAACATAATCGGAAATAAAGCATATCCGGTTGCTCGTCTATATTAAATCATGTTTGGGATCGAGGTGAGTTCCTAGTCCTGGTTCCTGTGCTGTCCATTCGTATTACCAGTCACACATCGGGATGTGTAGATGGGTGAAGAATTGGTAGGGGGCAGAGCTGACAGAACTTGTCCCAAGTATCTCCTACCTACAACCCAGACGAAGTCCTGAATAAATCATCTACATCTAATACAAGGAACAAAGATGACAAAGAATATTATTATTATAAAGGATTATTGAAACAGCAAAAGATAGCTTCCAAAATTGAAGTAAAGTCTTTAGAAATAAATTTGATCAAGTAAAGAGTACTGAACTGTTATGAAATATTAGTCATTGCTATGGAAAAGAATGTTGGACTATATTCTCATATATGAAGAAGACACTTGAAACAAGAGAAATGTAGTTCTGTAGAAGGACTCTGAGAATACCATGGAATGAATATGTGAGTAATGCGGAAGTTTTTTTTTAAGAAAATAGAGACGAAAAAGCCGAATATACTTAGAATCAGGAATCCAGTTGAAACATCATGAGGAAAGAAGGTTTGGAGAATTTGACACAGACATGAGATATTGAAGTCAAAAAGGACAGAGGAAAGCAGCGTATAACCTACATAATGAGGTGTGTAAATATTTGCCACAACAGAGTTTAGGTGTGATAGCAAAAAGACAAATCTTACTGTTGTGAAGAAGAAGAAGAAGAAGAAGAAGAAGGGGAAGTAGAAGAGGAAGAAGACGATGTCGAAGAAGTGGGCGAGGTAGAAGAAGAAGAAGAGGAAGAAGAAATGGATGAGGAAGAAGAGGAAGAAGAAGAAGAGGAGGAAGAAGAAGTATAAGAGGAAAAAGAAGAAAACGAAAAAGAAGAAGGGGAAGTAGAAGAGTAAGAAGACGAGGTTGAAGAAGTGGGCGAGGTAGAAGAAGAAGAAGAAGAAGAAGAAAAAGAAGAAGAAGAAGAAGAAGAAGAAGAAGAAGAAGAAGAAGAAGAAAAAAAGAAGTGGAAGAGGTAGAAGAAGAAGAAGAAGAAGAAGAAGAAGAAGAAGAAGAAGTGGACGAGGTAGAAGAAGAAGAAGAAGAAGAAGAAGAAGAAGAAGAAGAAGAAGAAGAAGAAGAAGCGGTAAAAGAAGAAAAAACAAGGAAGAAGAGGAAGAAGAAGAGAAAGGATGAGGAGAAAATGAAATCGTTCATAATAATTGTTGTTGTTATTACAATGTCTTGGATGTTGTAACCACCAAAGTTCTTCAGTTGACAGGTGATTGTATAACTCCGGAATATCCAACTGACCTATTAATTCAATATAAGTGGTTATTTATGTCTAGATATACCTTGACCTTTTTTTTATTTAGTTCTGCTCATTTATTAGTCGTCTTGTTTACACTGAGACCTTTTATACTATTCGTCATAGAGATTTAAACTCTACCACCACATCAGCCAACCAACACTTTAATCCACTAGGAGTTAGCAATATTAAAAAAAAGAAACAAGATGATGTATTCCTAGACATGGACAGCGAACTAGAACAAAATAAACCCTGAACATTAAATGAAGGCTTAAACCCGAAATTCTTTGAAGGTTCCCAGGATCAGCAAACATCTGAAGAAAGTCAGCGAGCACAACT